TTGCCATATACACGACGAATAACCTTCGAAATCAAATCAAATCCTCCATCACTCACTTGAGTACTAATTATTTTGGACTCATGACACTATCATCGGTACGTCATCCTAACTAACTTTTCCGATTATAACCAGCAATGGATTATTTCGTCCCATTAGAGCACCCACAAACATGTTGAAACACTGTAATGAACAACACTCGTTTTCGGTGATTCGCCTTCTTTGGCTAATGTCTCACAATTTATTTGACTCCGGTTAAAAGGAGGGCGGTGAAAGTACGTACAAATATTACACTATATAAACTTGAAGAATGTGGATAATGCCCACTGTTTCCGTTATGTTATCTAGTCCGGATGTGACGAGCTTTGGGATGACCAATTGGAAGTGGGTGGGTAGAGGAACATGGGAGGAATAACGGCTTCACAAAAGTGGGGGCGGGGTTTGTGAATGTGAATTCCCACTGCTTCTGATGTAGACAGGATGTGATGTTTAATCCACTTAAATTGTTGTTCACAAACCTTGTAGAGGGGGATGAAAAGTCCTGATCAAGTCCACCAAGTGGTCTGATTGGACAATATGTGAGCAGATTGCGCTCCTAATTGTCTTTCTCGCTCGGTGTGCAACCAAGCTGGATGGTGCTCACGAACTCACTGAGTTAAGCCTCTGCTAATGCGACCGATGTGTGTTATTCCACAGGAACAGGTGAAAGTAAATACAGAAAGAGGTCACACAAACCGGTAGGTTATTTTGTAGTTGAAGCCTAAGGACCGGTCTGGACGCAAATGTGACACGGAGTTCAACTGCATGGAATGCCGGACTGTTCGCAGTTGTTAACATTCGAGAGAATATATCCATCATATTACTTGTGAACGGTAGTCTTGTGCAAACTAGCTTCGTTTCTACTCCAACAGTTTTCTCCTTGCTTGCCTTATCTTTAAATGTGCTGCCAAAAAATCTATACAAGTATTCATTTTGTTGGAAGATTTGAGGTAGGAACTCGTTTTGAACTGTATCAGTCGAGCAGATTTTATACGCCCTGTTGGTGGGACCTTGAATCATTTTTCTGTTTTCTTTTGATTGACCCGAAACTTCAGAACTGAATAAACTGCGCCGACCACGTGCTTTTTATATATACCCAACGTTGGACGGACCCCTCATTTCGGCGTTCGAGGCAAACACCAAAAATACGATCTGTTTGTCAGTTTTCGATGAGCGCAGTTGAATGTTGTCAGGAGATCATTGGGAATACCATCCTAGTTCAGGAAGCACAATATGCAATCGAAGTATTCATATTCGACCAACCAAGGGGTTGCCATTCAATAAAAAATGGGGGAAGTCAGGCGGTGGTGTTGGGATTCGAACAAACATCCTCGGGGTGATAATTTGGTGACGTTACCAGCAGGCCACCACCACCCTTATCTTCCATATATCTTACAGTTTTCGATAGAAGTTGTCAGGGCGTTGTTTTCTAGCATTGCCAAGAAGACGTCCTTGAACAACGGGTATAGTGAGGAGCCCATTGCAATGCCTTCTGACGAAAAAATAAACCAAGCTGTTTTAAGCCCTCAGTCGGGATACCGACATTGATATCATTCATGTGGATGTAGTCCGCTAAGTATTCGATTGTTTCTTTGATAGAAACAGTAGTAAATAGTGAAGTAACATCGAGGGATAGCATTCATAGTCCGGTTATATTCATATCTTGAATAGAATTCACCAGATCAAACGAATCTCGTGGCTTAGGCTGCGTTGGTTCAGTCCTTATCGGTTTCAATTTGCTCACGATCCCTTAATCTATAGCGAGGTAAGGCGAGTTACAGATGTCTAATATTGGCCTGGATGAAACATCGTCCTTGTGTATTTTTGATAATCCACACATACATCCCCGGAATCATTGTTCCATTTGGTCGGATACACTCAAGCGTGGCTGTTTCTGTCACGCCCCTTTGTTTGAGATAAGAAGGATGAATCACTGAAAACAAATCTTGGTAGCTACATTGTGCTTTTTAAAGTGGATTATTTCGTCATAGTGAACAGCATCACTCAAGTAAACCATAAATATTGAACATCGTAAGCTACGAAACTTAAAAATATCACCGACTCATTTATCAACTAATACACTGAATTCACTGCTCCCGTCCACTTCGCGCATTTTATAGTTACAATATAGTAATAAACTAAAATTGTAATGATTTGAGAATGATTCAAGTGTTCAACTATAATTTGGCACACTATGAATTCCTGTCGCATTCACTGATGAGCATGGATCTGTATCGTCTGGGGTTCGAAACCCGTGGTGACCACCAGATGTCAGTAGTTTAGAGCTTCCATGTTATCTAGCTCGGCACCACATCTATCCCATCGGAGTCTTGAGTGACGTGGCACTCGGGAATTAGGTTACCTACCAGAAAGTCCTCATGGACAAGCTGTTTACTTTTCTATTCATTAGTAAACCGAGGAGTGTATCCAAAACGTCTTTAAATGGTCAGTCTAATCAACTAACAGAACAGGTGTGCATTTTTCGGTTCGTTTTGAGTGTTCAACTATTCAGGCTAAAACAACTGTCAATGATTTCAAAGTTCAGGGAATTAGTTGATGGAAAATCTCATATCTTTGAAATTTAAGAATAACTTTACCACTGGATTGTATATCGGTTGAAATCACCATAGACCAGGGCAGGATAGGTAAGTCAAAAAATCCACTTACCTTGAGTTTATCATAACCCAGTTCGTTGTATCTCAAACAACGATCCCATTCGCCCAGGGAAGCATACAATTTGGACCACCAATCCACATCGTCATCGATCTGTTCGAGATCCAGCTGGAGACGGTCAAGTGACAATCAGAAAAGAAATGAGAAACTGAATAAGGCTAAATCCTTCGATGGAACTGGGAGCCTAGCAAGGCTTTAAAAAAAGTACCGGAGAGGTGCGGATCACTATGAAGGGAGTACAACGAAAGTACACAGAGGGGAAAAACAAACAACTGCATAACTACAAGGTGTGTAGAAGATAGACGTAATTGGATACACTCAGTGCAACTGGAACTGTCATACTCCACAGAGGCAAACAAAGAAAAACAAAACGAACTGTAAAATCATAACGCTCCAGTAAAAAATACACACAAGGTGTTATTGTAATCATGGCGAGGCAAATAGATCGCAGGTGAAATACAACAAACTAACGAAATTGAAGGTGATGAAGAGTATTTTTGGCACGGTGGATTTGAGCAATGCTGCAACTCATTGAACAGATGTAAGAGAACAGCATGAATGTTTTTTTTTATCTTTTCTTTTTACTTCTTTCTTTCAATACTTATGGAACAATACAAACAAACTATCATAAGGGAAGAAGGGACCAATCAAAGGCTGCCAAGCGGAGGGAAAACTCGAAATACCTTCGTGTGCGGAGAAAGATTAGTTTAAACTGAAATCCAGAGCAACACTGGATACTTATCTTAACCCTTCTTATTAAAGTCAATGGAGAATATCGATCAATCCAATTCCGGAGAAACCCTGAGGTCTCAGTCTAGCAGTTTGCTCCATTTTGTTCGCACATACACTCACGTCGATAGAATTAGTTGAAATAGTCAAAGTGGGTTGGACTGGTTTTAAAAACTGGCAGAATCGCGATGCCTAGATACCGGGAAAATTTATCTTTCTAGTTTTGTCACTAAAATATAAGCCTGCGTCAAATAGGGGATACATAATGAGAAAAAATGAGAATTGAAACTCCGAATACGCTCATTTTGTGATCGCTCTATTCAAGTGGTGGCAGTTTGATCTGAGACTAATTAGGATAAACAAGTTTTTCAATAGAAAATGTCCCATACATTACTACGTCTGTCCTTCTTTCCAAATCGGTCAATTTGGTTTCCAAATTGGTACAATTACAGAAGAGTCATTCCCATCAAACAGGAAGAATAAGGGAGAGTAATCTGATTGATTATGCCATTATACCTTGATTGCACAATTGGAGACCATTTTATCAATCTCGTGTTAGCTACCAAATGCCATCAATTCTGCAGTTATCTGTTTTCCTCTGAACACAAGAGAATGTGAGTTAGTTGCACTGAACAACAGTCATGAAGAAAGGAATAAATCGTAAAAAAGTGTCACACAATTTATACCGTTTTGGGTACATACTAGATAGCACGACGGATCAGAATATCTGAAGTTGGTTAGAGAAGTGAGCCACAAATGCACACAGAAACACATATTTCAAGATTTCAACAAGAACACGACAGTGAACACAACTATACACGATTAGATGTGATTTGAAACAAATACTAGTTTGTTACAGACCGGTGACAAAAGCAAATCGTGCCTGTTCAGTATCATTTAGGAAAGAATCGTTCCATATTGTGTGAAAATCATTTTTTACAGCCGGACTGATATAGTTCCGAATTTGCGCTTCATTGGTTCCACGGAGTGGGTGTCCTAGGAGGCAATCAAGCAAGCTGTGATATGTATCAGGACGGGGTGCTGATTGCTGATGCATAAATATTGACCGATCACACTGAAAAAGTTTAATGTGAACCTTGGGAACACAAACCAATTTGTTCAACGCTTTATTCTGTTCAGCAGCCGCTCGCTAGTTAACCCGACAATCGACGACTCGTTTCAATTCCCATGGTGTATAGTAGTTCCACAATCTTAATAGGTGGAAGTAGGATAACATGCGCTGGCGGGAGATGTATGTTGCACTGTGTAAATTGTTATCGGGCGGTCAGGCCCTCCGCGGCATTTTAACGGCCTTCAAGCCCCTATAACCACCAATCAGAATCACACATACGCCCAATTACGTGAGGTGGCAATGACAGAGATTGCGTACGGTCTGATGTCAGGCGATGGGTACTTTTGGACAATGAATAGTGGTGTGGGTTGAATATGCCCTGAGGAAGGTCCTATAACTCGACCACAAGTTATGGATCATACTGTGGTTCACCAAAGGACATGCATGTTACACAATGCATGCATTGTCTATAATATTACCATTTATGTTGTCACTGCGTTTTATATTTCATAAAGACCAGTGCGCCATTGGGCTCGATAAAACACAAGAACCCACTGAATTAATTGGCTAATTACAGCCTACGACCCGTGGAACTGTACGCTACCAGGCGCGTCTCCATGTAGCGTGTAGGAGGCCGGTCACAAAAGCACCTGCCCGTACATATGTGGGTACGGATTTACTGAAGAAATGGTGGCAGAACATCCTTGGAGAACGCGGGGGAGGAGATTTTCACCCCATAGGCAATCTCCAGTTGGATAAAGTAACCCATAACTAAACCCCTTGTAGACTGAGTCGCGCGAACCACTTACGCGTGAAGAACAATCTGCATACTTTAAACAAACTGTTCTATTCCTGTTGAGGATCCTGAATAGATCTGGCGGTGGCTCGACCTCGAAGTACGAGTACCCTATATATTATCACCCAACTGTCCGGACAAGCTGCGGCAGTTAATTCGAGGCCAACACTGTAGACAGTACGATGACACTGCAAGTGACAAGTCAACGTCTGGTCATTCCATCTCACACTGCTCAAACGAATCATTACGAAGCCAGCACAGGTTCATGGAGAATAGGAAGACGGTTTTTGATTAGTTCATTACTCCGTAGCTGATGTGGCACATTTGAGTAGGTTTTTTAAATCGATAAACGGATCGCAGCTGCATAAAAGCGATATGCAGGTGTGATTCGGGTAAGTCTGCTGGAGGTGGACCGTAGTCCCACTTGCTTTTGCGCGTCAGTGAGAGCAGAACCGGTTTCCATTCGGAAACGAGACAAAAATCAACAAAGAATCAAATAAACTGATTGCTGAAAAACCACAATTTGAAATGCCATCCAAACGTTTCCTGTTTGGGCGTCCAGTATGATAAATCGCGCGCGCGGGCGCGTGCATGCATTTGTGCGATCGAATCCAGTTTTAGTCGTTAGATCAACTTCAGCAAAAAAAAGTGGAGACAATCAGGGTGTTCACGCTTGATGAGAAGTTAACATTTGACATGCATGCACACACACAGTCATGTACATGTGCACCAATAGACGTAAAAATACAAACACATACGCAGGCACGCACACATACATACACAAGTACAAACGCGCGAACGCGACCACACTTGTACCGAATGTGATCAGATATGTCCTCGGACAGAAAAACCTTACCATCGAGCTGGTTAGCTGGAAAAATGAAATTGAAATTTGTGTGGAAAGCAGTTGATGACGCAT